ACTCCTATATTATCCAAATACTCAGGCTCAGCATATGCCGAACGGGCTTATATAGCTCTACTATTTTTGTGTTTTTCGAAAACTAACCACTGTAGCCAGGTTCTGTGGATCTCTATTACACCTATCATTAATGTATGTATGGACGCATTATGCTAGTAGATTTGAAAACCCCGTTTTACAATTTTCACTTACATGGTCATATAAACTAACACTGCTCAATTAAATGTCTTTCATTATCCTATGTAAAATGTATATATATACATATATATAGCATCTACCGTTCCCTCCTATACATTTGCGCATCATAATCTGTGGAGGAAAAATGCTTCAACTCTTCACGAAGTTTTACCTCATTTTCGTTCGACCTAAAAAATAACTCATACCTCTAGGCCTTGCACTTCGTTATTGAAACTTTCTTCTCTCCAGCCATTGCCTAATTTTGTTTTTCGAATCCCCTTAAAATTAGTTATTCTCAATAGCAGCATTTTCCCATTCTCTACTTTTTCATTTAGCCTTTTCCTTATGATTATCAGTTATACAAACTCCATTCATAGATTATTAAGGTAAACACCTCGTATATCTGCTTATATGCATGTTGTAAGAAGATTCAAGGTATCTATATTGCTTGAACTATTCTTCTCCATCTGTATTTTTACTATAATGGACGGTTTTAATCAGTCCATTTTTGCTTATTTGTGTATTCTCTAATTTTGTTACCGATTTTATTTGTTTTTGAAATCACATGTAGCCATATTCCTTACGATTGCATGTTTATCTTTGATTGTGATTCATCGTGATCGCTTCTTGATCTGGCTTAATTCATGAGAATTCCAATGGTGTGATTCTATTTTTTACATTATCCTATTTTCGGATAGACTAATTATCTATCTGTTGATGTATATCTGCCTTATTTTCGGGATTAAGTTTATCTTTGCATTCACTGTATAAATGCTGACTGATTATATTTTTCATCAGACCTTTGTTCACTTTTTATCTTGAACCTGTAATTCTTTGCTTTATCATTTGATTTATTTTTATCAGACATTTTCACAATCACTCGCATCTTAATATACTTTGTCAGCATTCATTCTCTTCGGATACTTCTTCAATTCTCTATGCCTCACTGTAATATGTAATGCTGTAATGCTATTTTATTTCTTTTTTTCCTTACTGATTGCAGGTGGTCCATGCATGCCTGTATTTTTACTCGTCATATACTCATCCGCTTGCTTAATGTGAATTCTTGACAATCATTTTTATTACTTTGCTTTTGACGGCTTTCCTAGCCATGTTGGCAACACCGGTTTATTTTGTTGCGCATGTGTACACCTATTATTATATTTTTGCTTCGTAAAACTGGATAATTTTGTTTTCTGTATCCTTCTGCTAAACATTCATAACGACGTGCCTTCATAGCATGACACGATTATATATGTAAATGTGTGTATATACATATATGATCTCATAGCTACATAAACTTATTATTTTCCTAGCCCTTATTTCAGTTGCTCCGCCTCTTGGTTTTTTACTCACTTCTTATCATTATTCGTTTGTAAAATGCAATAAATACTATGTGATATTTGATTTTATAATTATCTAAGATAAGGCAAAATTTAGTCTTTATTTCATTACTTCTGTGCACCTATTGTTTCTTTTGATGATACTGTACATATCTATCTATGGAGGTCTGTGATTTTAGAGTATGATCGATTTGGGCTTTTCGTTGTTACCGTTAGATGAACTTCGGTGATGGTTCTTCTTCAATCACTGCTTCTTTTATTTTTAAATCACTCCATTATAAAGCTATCATCCAAAATTAGATCGTAGCTATGAGGGTCAAGATGGTGTGGTCTTCTGTTTGGTAACAGTCTCCTTTAGCTTTATATTGTTGATTCCACCTTGTTTTCGCAACTAGGTCGGAGAGTCAGGGAGACCTTGTGGAACGTATCTAATCCCGTGTCCTCTGTCATAGTATTCGTTATTTCCAGCATTGGACAATTGGCTGTGTACATTCCCAAATGTTTTGTTGGCATCGTCAGTGAGAGGCGTCATCGTAAGCCCAAAGTTACAACTTATGACAAGTGAAGGCAATCTTGACAAATTTTCTGTTTAATTGTTGTAGCATCATTCGCGTCTATTCGTTATGCCCTCTAGTAATCTCAGGAGATTCACCGAAACTCAGTTTCTCTTCCTACTCTCTAGTACCGCACTTCCTTCTCTCAACCCAACTTCATATGGCACATTTCACAAAATTTTGTGCTCGTTTCCTCCAATGTCGCCTAGGAATGTGTCGCTACAATTGAGTTTAGGGAAGCGTAATCATCTCGGCCACCGATACCAGATGCCGTTTGCAGGGCTCCTGACTTACATTCTGCTCCCCTCTTTTTTCCAACCCGCTTGTCATTTGGCCGATGCCGGCGAAACGTTTGGGAATGTACCCAGCCAATGGTCCAATGCTGGAAATCACGAATGCTACGGCATAGAACACGGGTCTAGGTATATTTCACAAGGTCTCTGACACTCCAATCAAGTTGCGAATACAAGTTCGAACCAACACTATTATTCAAAAGCCTAATTCGCTTTTGCATGTCCTTTCCTGTTCCTCGGATGGTAATGCAATTCATGATACCTAAGAATGCGACAATTTCCCCAATATCTCTTGAATTATGCTATCTCATTTTTAAACTAGGCGTTTTGTCCTTACTACATGTAGGAATCTATTTGAATTTTTTATTTATCATTACAATTTGATTGGGTTATATTAAACATCTACTTAAATTAAACCCAATTGTCTACTAGCCTATACGTTGCAATATGATTTAGAAGCCTTGTTTTCTGCTTCTCAAATTTGCTATCCTTCGGTTTGGCAAGCTTAGCGTTTTTGAGAAAGCCCAGGCCAGATAGGCACGACCTCTTAAACCTGAGTATATAAAAATAAAAGTCAAACAGAGATTGTTATTAAAATTGACACTCATCAATTCAAACTACTTTTCGTAGCAGTGTGCTGAGCTGTTTTTCGCAACTTGAACTTGTTGTCAATGGGACCTAGTTGGATGCGCCTTGTCCGAAGTCCTGATTATAACTCCCAGCGTCAGATCGTGGATTTGGTACATCCCCAGGCTTTTCATAGCATCGTAGTCGGCAACACCAAGCTACGTGCCAGAGACAGCGTGCCGAATCCGTTGTGTTATCAACCCTCTTTTTGTCCTGGCCCATCTATCTACCCCTTACCCTCTTATCACACTCCCGTCAATTAGCGGTAGATTAAAGAGAACTCTTGATTTTGCATTTAAATTCGCTCCGCTATGCATACTGTGGGGCCGTTTTGTCTAGGCATAATATACAATCCAGTTGGGTTAAAATCGCCAATGAACTGATTAAAAATCACGGATCTCTAGTCTACATAACCTCAGTTTCATTAGGCCAAATGACAATGTATGTTATCCTATTTATTTATGGGAGAGCCTGTGTCAATACGCAATTATGGTTATTCCATTAAATTCGATATTCCAGTTTTGTTGGTATTAACTGGTTGCGGTTCTCAGGATTGTTTTTAGTTCATCTTAGGTACGATCTCTATTAACTTCTATATCAACTTCTGGCATTTTTCTATATTGATAGCGTTAATAAGGGGTTGCATGGAACAGTGACGGTTGAACAAAACTTATGCAGTCATAGTCGAATCAAGTAGACAAAATAGGCTGCCCCATCTAGGTTCCCATGCTCGTTCTTTAGATTAACATCAAATTTAGCGATGTAAATATTTGCCAAAATTGGTGACAAACAAGATCCCATAGATAAACCTTGTGCTTGTTTGTAGAGCTTACCATTAAGGATAAAATATGTACAGTGCATCGCCAGGTTGGTCATTATCATTATTAAATTACATTTGTACCCATAAAATCTCTGGATGTTGGTCTAGTGTTGATTGCATAGCTTGTGTCGCATCGTCTACAAGAATGCGAATATAGATAGACTCAGCATCAAAACTGAAGAAGTGGAAGATAAAAACTTTTCCTCAACCAGATTTTAGGCCTCTTAATGCATATGGTCGCCCAAAATGCATTGAATCCTACTCATTATAAATACTTAGGGTATGGTGATGCATAACACATCACGATTAATTTCTAACTAGTTGAAGCAAATGTCCTAGGCGTAGCAGATTTCAGTTAAGAATCTAGTCGACGAGCAGGAGGTAAATAATGGGGATTTGCAGGTATGGTTTCATGTTGAGTCTATGTATACTAGCACTCCAGTAGACTGCCACACAGGCTCTGCAATCAACACTAGAATAATATCCACAGATTTCAGGGAGTACGAAGCTAAACAGTGTAAACAATTATACTGACCAACCTGGCGATATATTATGCATATTGTGCCCTTAATGGCAAACTGTACGAGCAAACAGGATTATGAGCTGTTAGTTAGTGTTTGTCACAAATTTTAGCTTATAATTACGTGGATAAATTTTGAGGAACGTCTAATTCAAGAGACATTTTTAGGCCCAAAATTATTTGTTTGATATATGGAAGACTATTTTCCCTTTTGAAGGCATGGCAAA